AATGATACCTTTGTGTATATCATTCAATACCACTATATAGAAACTTACTTAGGTGCTTACTATGTAATGTTATTTCCTAACAGGACAGATGGGCCGTCTGGACGTAGGCATAGAGACGTTGCCTTGCACGCGATACAACTCGGTGTGTCAAGCAAACGTGATCCTTCTGCGGAGGCTGGAGCCGGGTCGCTACGTGGACTTCCGCTTGTCCGTCCGCAACACCAGGGGGCGCAGCTCTCGGATCGCGTGCTCCATCACGGGCACTAATGCCACCACACCTAGGGATACTATTTTTCCTCATCAACCAAGCATTATATTAGTGCCTGAGGCAAGTACAGTCTCCACCATAAGTTTGTGTTTCCTTGAATTGAATTACAATGTATGAAAAATACATATATTTTTTGAAGCAAGTATTTTAGTAAAAAAGGTGTATAATCTATGTTTTTAAGTACGACAAGTAAATACTGAAGTTTTTAATTCAATTTATTCCACAGGATGCCAAGCGAGGAACGGACTTAGACATCGTTATTGCAAGGAAAAATCCAGTTTCGCCAAAGCCTTTGGAGTTGGAACTTTGGGTGAGCTGTGTTCATTTAAATTTTACTCTGAGCGCTTGATAGCGGTTGATGATTAGGTTTCCTAATGATGTTGCCTGTTTTACTGGTTCTGTGTACGACACGCATTTTGCCGTAACCGCATAATGAAGTTTCGCTCGTGCGCTAATAGGGCTCATTTTCACCATGATATCGCGTTGACGCGGCTCTCCGCCTCATGTGAAATTCAATTTATAAATTCATGTTTTTGAAACACGTAAGTGAGAATCCATTACTGAAAAGCAACTGTGTTATGAGTGTAGAGATTTTAATTAATATCTCACTTTGAATGTTATTTATAACGTAAAATGTTAGTGAAATTGTCAATTAATAATATTAAAACATCTAATAACATATCAAACAAAAAGTTTCGTTAAGATTTCGTTTTTTTTCCGTCGCATTTGAAGATACAAAGGAAGTATAGATAGATACATAATATGAAACTTAAAATACATTAAAATATGTTACAAATCGTAAAATCTTTGCTTAAAACTACAGTCGTAGTAAAGGCGTAATTGTAATAATTTACATGTAGCATTCAGGTTTGTTAATAAATTTGAAAAGGGCAGTAAAGCAAGGCGATGGGTTGGGCTGGCGACTGGTTTGTAACTCCCGGTCATGTTGCACAATTACCGAGCTTTGGAGGACTCGAGGCATGTTAAATCTCTCATATCGCGTGAAGAAAGCCTTGGCAACCGTGACTTGATATCGTTTTAACACCTGATATGCTTTATGTATGATTTACCGCCATTTTACGAAATAATTCAAGTTCAATTATTATTTGCTGTAAATTTCAATAAAATTTAACTAATTTATTTGGTTTCAAATACCGCATAGATAGTCTAAAGTCTAAAGTGTGGACTAAATGAATAATTATCTTTGTATTTTTAATTATTATTTTTTCTGCAGGGTTCTCCCTTATTTGCAATCCGACAACGGCGAGTATCAACAGAGAACACCGAAGGCACAATTTTCCTTGTTGGACCACTGGACTTTGAGGCTCAGTCTATGTACCACTTAACACTGTTAGCGGTGGTAAGTAAAACAATTAATTCAATTAGCACGGCCTCTTTGAATATTTCTAACGCAACATCAGCATTCGTAAAGCTCAGTTTACACTGGTGTTATTCATTGCCTTGAAGAGCTCGCCTTATAGAAAGGGTAGTTGCCCGTTATTATTTACATTGCCATTGTACCAACAAGTTGACCGGCTTGATAACAATGCGGATTAGCAATTATACAAAGCCGGTCTATATTTAGTAGAGCTCTTAGAAATTTACACTTACTAATTTAACAGTCCGGCGGAACCTTTTGTTATAAATACGATGAAATATTTTATCTCTCGATCACGTTTCTTCGATCTTAAATTCAGTATCAAACAAAAAAAAAAGAAAAGTAGCTACAGCAAAGAGGAACACTATTTTACTGCACAGACGCAAATTTTACTAATTAAGTTGTATCTTTTTTAGTCAACTGGCTGTTGCGCGCGACTTCGTCTGCGTGAAAATAAAAAATAATGTTACCAATTGATAAATTACCTTCTAACGGTAAAAGAATTTTTATAATCGGCCAAGTAGTTTTTGAGTTATTTCAATACATACAAAAGTACAAATCTTTTCTCTTTATAATATTATAGTATAGACGATACTGATACGTGATAACCACGATGAGTCTGTAATGATTGAGTCGACAAAGAAGAAGAAGAATAAACGATACACTCTTGTTACATTATAATTCTATTGGTAAATAAATAACTTCAAACATTCCAGGATCCGTATGCAGAAGTTGATAAGGACACAAGGAATATAGCGGGATTAGAAGTAGTGGTAGTTGTTCAGGACGTGCAGGATATGCCACCGGTGTTTACATCAGCGCCCCCTATAACACATCTTCCTAGACAAGTGGTGCCTGGAGACATGATCGTCAAAGTGCGCGCTGAGGACGGCGACAAAGGTGCTCCAAGACAGATTCGGTACGGACTTGTGTCGGAAGGGAATCCATTCACACCATTCTTCAATATCAATGAAACAACAGGTTAGTTGTAGTAAGAATTAATATTCAGCTTATAAATGAGTAGTAGAGGTTACTAGTACTACTAATAGTCGTAAACTTCTACTACAGAATTACTAGTACGTGTTAATAGTGACTCAAAATCGTAAAGGAAATTTATTAACTCAATTACTAAGATTTGCGTTAGTAGTTTATAAGTTGTAATTAGTGTCTCGGTGAGTCATCAAAGTAAAATCTTAGAGCGGGCATACAACTTTGACTAAACTATCGCACAACTTTTGTGCGATTGTCGATTGTTTTGCAGCCAACTTAACTGTTTAGTTGCACAATTAAAAATCAAATTATGTACGCACATCCATATTATAGGAATCAAAGCGAGACTAAACAGTTTGGCGATAGTTTAGTCAAAGATGTGCGTGGTCTTATAGACAAAAATGTAATCATGAACAAGTATCGATATTAATTCAACTAACGCCAACACAGAATTTATAGGGGCTCATTTCTAAGAATTGTAAATGAGGGCAAACATTTGTTTATCTACGGCAGAAAATTACGAACTCACTCCCTTACGTAGGCGAGGGTTTTTCCTGGCAACTTATTCATTCATACGCGAGAAAGCAATTGTTTCTAACGACCCTATTACGTATTCAATATATTGTTAGTCCATTAGCAAATCAAACTCTTAACTAGGTTATATTTAATACATCAATTGAATTTTTTACGCAAATCAATATGACATTTCAACAGATAACATAAAGTTTACTTATATCAGCTAACGTTATTAGAATTCTGTAATTTATTTTCAAGTCAAAGAATAATAATACGCATAGATTTAAGCTATGTTTCAAGTTAACTAACATAAGATATTGTAAAAATAATTTGTACTCATTCTAGAAACTTTAGCTTCATCTCAAGATGGTATGCGCTTATTACCTAAAGATTTATCTAATTTTGTACCACGGTATGCTGTTTGCTAACTTCATAAATCCCTTAAAGCAACTATACATCCGGTATTCCGATTATGATAAACGGTATTCGATATCCTTATCATTAATTTGTAATTGGAAAGCACATTCCAAGACACTTACGTATACGAAATACCTCATCTCAGATTAGATTAATTATTTTACATGTAATTTAGCGGATCCGTTAGACATGTTTAGTTATAACGTTCCTTTCGGCTTATATGGGGTGTTTCCCGATAGGCTGATCGGTCGACGAAAGATTTTTCTTATTGGAAATTGCAAATAAAAATGTGAGGATCCAATACTCATTTCGTCGACATTAAGATATTGCTTTGAATTGAAATAAATGCACGATTTACATAATTGAAATAAATAAATCAATCTATACTATTATAATAAAGCGTAAACACACACTTCTTTGTTGCCTAAGATGCCAACAACTACAGCTAATTTTTAATAATTTTTTTTTAATTAAAAGCCATACACTTACGTCACGCTTTAGGCTACACATTTCACGCCATTTAACTTAGGGGGTAAATATTTTGGATAAAAACCCTTATGTGGGAAAGAGACCATAAATTGCTGCCAACGTCAAGGGAGCAAGGTTGCCATGATTTGTCATAATGTAATCTCATTTTGACATTTGCAATTAATAATTTGACACATGTAAACAACAAAATAATTTTTTTATAACTTTATGCGAATGAAGTTGCACGGGAACAGCTAGTTTTGAAATAAAGGACTTTTGTTTACTATGTAGGTCAATGAAGTTATATTTTTTATTAGATAACATCGTTAGACTGACGCTTTACTTCCGTAGTGTATCCTACTTCCTTATCGTTGACCCATAGCGGGCCCGGTGCTTTAAACGGCTTGCGTGACCCATTTCAATTCCTTTACAGCTCACAATTAATATCAGTCATTTGCACCTAAATTTTAGTCCATTAAAAACTTACTTTTACTTCTATGCTCTAGTAAACCTACGATAAATTACAATAATAAAACATAACATAAAATTAATGTTAACTACTATTTTGAATGAGGTTGCTACAACCTACAACCTTGTATTTTATAGTATAATAGTTCATTAGGCCAACCCACTGTCCCTTGAACATCTATTGTTTGTAAAGCTGGGCCACCCGCCTTCATAATAAAGAGATACTTCCTTTAAATA